CCTGGAGTCTCATCTGGTAATGAGGAAATTAGAACAGGAGGCCTTATGGAAGGCCTCTGTCCTAAGATCTCATCCATCCTTTATTTGACTTTACCCGACAATGACAAAGCAGGTTATCTCAAGTTTATTTAAATACCATCAAATCCTCAGCCAGGCAGATGGCTAGCATACTAGCAGTTTATGCCACTTAGTAAGACGTCCTTTTCTACCGTAAAATAGCTTTAATAGGCCTCAGTACAAGTGTATATTACATTAGACACCAGAATCAAACTATTAAGACTCACTGTTGTCAGCAAATAACCGTTAAACAACGGCATCCAACATCCGGGTGATGCTCACCCGGCAGATAGCGGATCAGCTAGCAACATTCATTCCGCTTACCTCTCTTTCATGAAGTGCTTTAGTTTGACAATGGCCTTCTCGTCGATCTTCCTAAGGAAGGTTTTCAATCTCTCTCTCTTGTTTTCAAGCATTCTTCCCTCAGCCAGTGGTGGTGGTCCGTCGGTTCGCGAAGAAACGACTCTCCACGCCAAACTCCACCGTTCTTGTTTGGTTTCTGCTTTTTTTTTTTAACCCCCACCACCTCCTCACTTCATCCACGGCTGATTAGGATAATGACCTTAAATCGGACCAAGTCAGAAGACCAATCAGAAGCGGTGAAGCCAGAGAAAAAAAAGGTCATGTCAGACAAGTCAGCCAATCAGAATGAAGAGGCTGGGTTCTCCTAGACCGCCCATTGCCTTATATGGTAATGCTGGGCTGTCCACGTCTAACTGTCTAGAGATGTAGAAAAAACAGAGCAGCCGGGCTTGATATTATTACAGGTGAGGTAGCTTCATTCAGTATATTTTAAGAAAAAAAATTATCTCTTCCTCTCCAGGAAGAGATTGTGTTAATCCTATTTAAAATACAATCTTATCATATCACAATAAACCCTGGCAAAGAACTGTAGTCTCGGGCGGGGGCACTGCAATCTGGTACTTACTATTCATTAAGTCTCAATACTTGTTAAACTTTAATATCATTTTTCAAATTTTGTCTATGAATATACATAATATAACAACAACAACTATAATAATAATAATAATAATAATAATAATAATAATAATAATAATAATAATAATTATTATTATTATTATTATTATTAGTAGTAGTAGTAGTAGTAGTAGTAGTAGTAGTAGTACTAATAGTAGTAGTAGTAGTAGTCCAATTTATTTATTTATTTTTTTCATGTTTTTACTAGTCAATTGATATTTGACATTTAGCTGTCAGTTGAATTAAACTGTAATCATAATGTGAGTGTGCTTGAGGTGTGTTCACTGTCCAAATATTATACTTTGCAGGTGCATTTTGTCAACTGACTTTACACCTATATTGCAGTTGAAGCTTGCTGACAGTAACTAATAAAAATAGCCTTGAGGGAGTTGTCTAAGAGTTTTCAGGAGTTGACCTTGAACCTTAACCTCTGCCTTGAAGGTGTGACAAGCGGATCCAATAAAAGCAAAACTCACAGAGTGTGAGGCTTGAAAATGTAGTAACTTGCAAAAGCTATCACACCTTTTATCCTTTGTCACTACACAAACTTGAACACAGAAGTGATGTGGATGAGTCTGCTTTGGTCAGATAATGCCAATGTTGAAATTTTTTGGGCTTACATGCAATATGCAATGTGTTGCAAAATTTGACAGTCCACAATGCTGAGAAAATGTGAAAAATTTTATGTGATCAGAATACAGTTTGGAAAATTATCTTTAAAAATCTGCTAAAATTTTTCTTCATATCCCCATCTAATTTTAAAGTTCCGATGATTTTCTGAACTTTATATTCGTACTGATTAAAACACAACTTTGTGTAGTGTATTTCAGCCCACCTGGACAAGACCTTGAACACATAAAATATATTTATCAAATAGAGGTTAAACAAAAGTTGAGCAAATATTAGCAATGAGAGCTTCTTTTAGTTTCCTCTCAGACATCTCAGGCACTACCAGGAACAGAAGAGGCAGTGTCTAGCCTCATGACAAAGCATACACACCACCCTCACACAATCTGGCTCACATAGGCAGATGACGGTTTTCCCTGCCGTCCCCACTGTCACGAGACAAGGCACATACAGAAAAGGAAATTACAGTTCTCGAGGAAGTGTGTAATACGGTTGCGTGGATTCAACGTAGGAGTCTTTTCTGTGCTAAGTCATCAGTGTGATGGATAGATTATCAATTGGGCAAAACAGACAACCTCCCTTGGATCCATGACACAAAATCCCATGTTTTGAGTATTCATATTTTTGAAGATCTTCTGTCAGCCATCAAGAGGGTGTGCTTTACAAAACATCTTGATAAAGATAATCTTCACCTAAATTTCCACAGAAGCTACCACCTTAATGATATCACTGTTGTTGACATGACACATTGATAACTGGAAAAATCCAGGAAAGGTCAAACTAATATTGTACTTTTTAAAGTTTTATTAGATAATTGTATGATGATCTCATTTAAAGGAAAGACCATATAGTTTTACTGTTTATTAACAGTTTCCATGCGACAGTTTCCTAACTGTTTCCCCTCACCTTATCAGCTGAGAGGAAACGATTAGATGAGCTCATCAGGACGGCCAGCTCTTTGGTTGCACAGCTGTTTCCAGTGTAGGTGGTGGGAGACAGAAGAACTCTGGCTAAAATAAGATTACTGATAAACAATGTGGGGTGGGAGACATTGGGAAAGCCAACAGTGGTCTTCAATACAGGCACACCACAGGGCTGTGTGCTTAGTCTGGTTCTTTTTGCTCTGTTCACCCACGAATGTATTCCCATCCACTCATCTAAGAGTTCTAAAGTTTGCAGATGATACTACTGAAGTGGGTCTGATAACAAACAATGATGAGATCCTGTACAGAGAAGAGAGTCCTCACCTGTCCAAGTGGTGTTCACTGAGCAGCCTGGTGCTCAACACCAGCAAGACCAAGGAGGTCATATTGGACTACAGGAGGTGGAGGAGGACAGTGCACACACCTGTTCCAATTTAAGGGGAGGTAGTGGAGCCTGTGGAGAAGATCAAATTGCTGGGCATCCACATCACCTCAGATCTGATCTGAAGGCCAAACAAAGACTCTTCTTCCTCGGGAAACTGAAAAGGGTTGGACTCCCTGCTCTGTTGCTCAATAACTTCTAGAGCCATGATTGAAAGAATCCCCTCAGTATTAGTGTGCAGAATGGCAACTGCACAGTCCAGGACAAAATGGACATGGCCAGAGCGGTGAAAACTGACCAGTGGATGGTGAGGAGTCACTTACTGGACCTGGACCTAATTTATACTGGCAGACTGCAAATAAAGGCCAGTTGTATTGCCACTGAGCTCACATATTCAGGACACAAACTATTTGCACTGCTACTGTCTGGGAAATGGTACAGATACATAAAGAGCACAACCACCTGGCTAAAAAACAGCTTTTCACAAGAGCTGTGAAGTCAATCTATCCATCTTCCATCCTGCCCCACTACACTCAAACCCATTTGCTGCACCCTAAGGACTGATTAAGACTTTATTTATTTATCTATTTATCATTGAGGGTATCTGTCCAATTTCGCTATGTTCTAGAAACATAATGACGAATAAAAATCTTATGTCTTATGCGTAATGACGCTGTCTCTGAACTGGAGAGCTCCTTCAGTGACAGAATGTAGCATCCAAAATGCACCACCTTATATCCTTCCTCCCAGAAGATGTTAGACTTTATAATCATCACTGCTCCCAATAATCTCAATACGTGTTTAAATCCTGGATGTTATTTGCACAGTTTTGCTCATCTTAAAAGACATTTCTACTGTTACATGCCCATCTCTGGTGTTTGCACAGGTTTTAGTTTTCATATTGTCAATAGTCTGTTGCACAAATATGCTTGCACATTATATATAAAATATCTTAGTCAGTTGCACTTTCCTTGGAAAGGAGTCTTATTGACTACTGCACAGTATGCTTAAGTTATAATCTTGTCAAAGAGTACGTTAAATGTATACTGTACGAATATTCTTACGTTTGTTTATTTATTGCTTGTTTTTATTTATTTATTATTTTTTACCAAAGCTGCTGTTATACCTGAATTTCCTCACTGCGTAACATAACTGTGAGACATTTCCATTCTGTTCTTTTACTCAACTTTCAGGAGTGAATCTTATTGCAGCACATACTTATCTTAACCAGCTGTGATCTGAAAGTGAAGAATACTAATAATTTGGTAAACTAAATACCGGCAGTAAGTTGTCAGACTTCAAAACACCTTCTGCTTTCTGCTGGACTTGCAAAGTCATTGCAGTTATGTCCTGTAAGACTACACTTTTCGCTAATATTTGCAGAACCTGACTTTATCTTGTTAATATTTGCAAAAAGACTTAAACAAAACAAAGCAGCCTCTCTAGAGCCAACGAGCAGACCGTTTAAAAAAGAGGAAATGTTTAATGTGTACCTTTTCAAACGTAAGATACTTTTACTTTGCATATGGAAGCATTGCTGATTCATTTCTGTTTAAAACAGATAGCACTGAGCAGCTTTTGTTTTCTTTTGCTGCTTACATTTTTAAAATGACAACATATATTTCCAGTTTTTAATAAAATAAGATCTGTGGATATTTTTCACTGACTATAAAAAAAAGGAAACCCTTTGAAAACAGTGACACCTTGATGCAACTTACAGGTTTCAAGGTATACTTAAAAAGCTGTTTTAAAAACAACAAAATTGTCTGTCATAATTTTTTGTCTCTAATAAGAGGCCACTGTAAGAGCCAGAGTAAACAAAGAAGTATAAAGATGTGTTGGTCCCCCACCTGTTGCTCTCGGGCAGCAAGCTGAATGAAACGACAACTACCATTCTTTTTTCAGTACTTTAAAAACAGACAATTCTGCAGTTTGAACATAAACAGGATAAACAAAAAAAAGATGGATAGTCATGAGCTGTGTCCGAATTCAGGGTCTGCATCCTT